TGATGATGGCCAGGTGCTCCTCGCTTGTTTCCAGGGCGACGCTGATGAAGCTTCGGGATGCTCGTCACAATATATATATATATATATATATATATATATATATGTCTATTTGTTGCTAGCTAAGTAATAACGTGCCTGTGTGAAGTTCAAAACATACTAAGCTTGCCAAACTGTTTGTATGCACATGCACACAAACGACGCACACATTAAGTTGTCAACGTTTTAAGTCTTGGTAAAGAACAAAGATATTTTTTTTACTTACCGACACAGCAAACAACAGCTTCTTTTTTTGCAGTTGGCAAACAATGCGAATTATCTTCTTATCAGTGTTGCCAAACCCCTCCCTCAGAAAATCTCTAGAACCACCCTCAAAAGTCTCAATTTTTCACAAAAATTATTTTTTCACTTATAGGATTAATTTCTTCCACCCACTGCATAGCCATTAGAATTGCCATCATTTCTGTTGTGAATACAGATACTTCGTTAGATAACCTCTTAACAGTGCTATATTTAAAATAGGAAATATATATGGCTGCTGCTGTATACCCAGAATCTAGATTTTTTTGACTCATCCGTATATATTTGAATGCTATTAAAATATATATTTTTTCAAATATTGATCCACTACTGTTTCTTTAGGCATACACCTTTCCTTTTCATTTATTTTAAAATGCAAATGGAGATCTACCATTGGCATTTGGAACAGCCAAGGGGGTATTATTGGTATTGCTACCATTGAGCTTATTTTGTCATTAATTCCTATCTTCTTTCTACATGCCCCCTTACAGAACACCAGTATGCCATCTTTAACGTAAGTCTCCGGAGGTCTAAAGGCAACTCCGCCATTTCCACCAGCATTGCTGAGACTGGCGATGTTCTAAATGCCCCACTTCCTATTCTTAGTGCTTGAGATTGAATACCACTTACTTTCTTTAACATAGATACTGATGCCGAACTATATACTATGCTGCCATAATCAATCATAGCTCTAATCATTTGGCGTGTGGTCTTCCGGGAGGAAACAAGGTCAGGAACAAGAATGAACAATCGCATATTGTGATCTAAATCACGGTGGCAAAAATACAATTTTTGCGAGCTATGTTTTGGCTTGCTGTTTTCATATATATCGTTTTATACCCTAATACCAAACATAGGCTACGTACGTGGTGGACGAGACGTTTATTTGATGTGTGCGTTTTCTTCTGAAAGGTGTATTTTTAGGGAGTTTTAGGTAATCTACAATACGTCTCTAAAACGTTTCTGTCAGACATTTATTAAATGCCTTTAACAGAAATAAGATACATGTCTCTTCTATTTGGGTCCTATTTGTTTGCACACAAGAATGCAGTGAATTGCAAATTGTTCATCGTGAAGCTGTTGGCTGTCTGTATGTTAATTAATGATTAGGAAGAATGCTTCTTCACTAGCTGGAATTGTCACAGATTCTTGTTTTACGCAGTAGGCTACCAAAAAATTACACTCTTATGGACATGAACAGATTATTCTGTTACGGCGGGTAAGATATTTACATGATCCAATTCTGATACAGGAAAGTGGCAGATGTCTTATTCATAATTTTTTTAAAATATGGTTATGGCAGGGAGAAAGATACATTTAAATTGCATGTAATGTACTTAGACTGTTGTCAATTTTCAGACATTTAGGTCCTACTAAACAATAACAAAACAAAAAAAAAAAGTAAGGAAACCCAGCCTAAACTGTTACAATAGTAATTTACAGAGATATGGTTCATCCCAGAATATAAACAGGACTTACACCAACAAACACTCATTTTGCCATTGTAAAGTCTCTTGTTTTCTTTTCCTTTCAGAGTCAACATGTCTTCATATGGTCTTGCTGTAATTACTCTCTTCATCCTTCTGCAAGGCCCATTGAAAGTGCATACTTATTAAGAGCATACAGACATACAGATATTTACCGTTTCCCTTTTGAACATTCTTTCCCATTGCGTTGCTGACGCTTATAGGGAAACTCCTGTTTACTCTGATACTGAAGCCTGATGCGTGTGTGGCTTGTGCAGTGAACCACTGCACGATGCAGATGGGCACGGTGAGTTCGTCACCTGTCTGGGCAGTGCCCACGCAGAGGCTGCGCTCATCTGGAAGGAATGATCTCACTGCAAGAGCATGAGTCTCAACCCTTCTCCGCTGGCGGATCGGTCTTCCCCGCTCTGCTCCCCCATTTTCTCCCTCCCCTAGGAGGAAGCGCCCCCTACTCGGCGCATGTTAATCCCTCTACTTCTACCGCTCTCACCACTATTGACGGCGCTGAAAAACTAGGTTATAGCAAGCTCCCCCCTCTGGAAGAGGCAGCCGCTATGCCCTCCATCGGCCCTGGGGTTGAAAGCCCATGCAGTGCAACCATCTAAGCCCTACAGGACTACTTTAGCCCTTCCAAATAGGGCTTATTCAGTGGCTGGCTCAGCGCTTCACACGATGGCGGTGCTCCAAGTATTCCAGGCCAAACTTCTTTGCACTATGGACGAGTCCGGCCAGAGTTCTGATGCTTTCAACAAGCTGCACACAGTGATTGACTTGGCTCTGAACGCTGCTACGGCCATTGCGCAGGCAATCGGCAAGGCCATGGCCAACTTGGTGGTGCTGGAGTACCACCTTTGGCTAAATCTGACAGAGATCAGGGACGCTGACAAGGTTGCCTTCCTAGACACGCCATGCAAACTACCGCTGTAATAGCAAACTCACATACTCAGAAGAGCTCTCCTCATTACCACGAATGTCAGTTCCCCCGTCCCCATGTGGCGAACTACCATTCAAAAAACTAAAACCACTTGCCATCCGGCTTCAGGCTTGGAAAGCTATCCTGCATGTGTCAGGTTGGGTTCTAAAAAAACATAGAATGAGGCTACTCACTTCAGTTTGCTCACGGGCCACCTCGCTTCAGAGGTATCATTCAAACTTTGGAATGGGACAATGATGCTCATGTTCTCTGGTCCAAAGTACAAACACTGCTTGCAAAAGGAACCATAGAAACAGTTCCTCTATTGAACAGCTTTTACAGCTGTTACTTCCTCATTCCCAAGAAAGATGGCGGGCTCAGACCCATTCTCGATCTAAGACATCTGAAATGCCTCATGTCGACCGCTTCCTCTGTGATTCCTCTGGGCCTGCGTCACATGCGGCCTTTTCAGTATTGGCTCAAAACCCATATCCCGTCCCACACTTGGGGCCTGGGGCGTTTTCATCTCAGGGTAATCCACCGCTGC